AGGGAAGTGGGCATCCTGGAGGTGTTCAGAACTCGTGGATGTGGCGCTTGAGCCCATGGTTCAGTGCTGAACATGCTGGTGCTGAGCTGCTGGATGGATCTTAGAGGGCTTTTCCAACCTGAGCAGCTCCATGGACGCGTTTGCAGTTGCTGATGATCCACAGGTTGTTCATGTGGTTTGAGCTGGGCACACAAAGGTTGTCAGAGCTTGTGCTGCTGCCTGCAGCCCCAGCTGGGCCATTGAGCACCGACTGTGCCTTGCAGGTGGCTGGAGGAAAGCCAGGCTGTGCCCCAGCTCTGCTCCTGTTCCCTGGCTCATCCCAGCCTGGCAGCGCTGTGGCCACACCAGGGGACTCCCAGTGTGGGGGAACTGCTGAGGAAAACCAGCAAGTGCCAATCTGAGACTGCTCTGTGTTTGTCTTTGCTCCTTCTCTCCCTTCATTCGACTTCTGTTTCCATTTTTGAGTGCCTGTAGGAACAGCACAGGAATGGAAGATGCTCAGTAGCATTACAGGATTATCAATTTAGCCAGACTTGGACAAGTTTTATTGTGTTGCAACAGAATTTTCTGAACTCTTGTGCTACAAATTACTTTCTAATCTTTGGGTGGCATTCCTAGCTCCTTATTTCATCTTTTTAGCAAGTCATATCACATCAGGGTTTTTTTGGGGGGGGTCAAATTCAATGTAATTATTACTTTCAGCTGCTCAAGCCTGCTCTTGCATGTGTGGTTTACCTCCCTTGCAACTGTATGTACACTTAATTTTTTTCTCCAGTAATCCTGTCCCAGCCATAGCTCTTCTCTCAGGTAGAGGCAACAACAAAGCAGTTAATTTCTTTTGTATATTTACTTCTACTGCCAAATACTGGTAAATGCAATTGGGAAGCCACTTGCCAGATGAAAATAAGATGAAATTATTCATTTCCCATGACAATATAAGGATGTTTTTGTTTATTGTGTGTATAGATGTGACAGAAATTGGAGACTTAGGCTCAGGTTAAGGTAGCTGAAGATCACCTAAATATCTGCCTTCTGCATGCTGTAATTCAATGTACTCCTTATCTCCCTTGAATTTTTATCCTCATCATATTTGTGACTGACAGTTTTTGCTGTAAATTCTTTATTAAAATTATTCATTGATAATTTCAAGAAAGAAGGGAATTTCATGTGAACTGGACATTTCGGCTCATCATAAAATGCTTTAACAGCTTCAATATCATTAAATAAAATCATATATATATTTCAGAAAATTAGTCATGGCCACTTCTAATGCTATTCAGTAGCTAAATTAATGAACAGATGTAAAATGATAATTTTCAAGAATAATGTATGCTTGCTTTTTTTTTTAACTACAGAAGTACAAAAGTACTGATGGTGGGATTTTTTTTCCTAATTAGGTCTCAAAAGTATTTCAACATACTTGTGTATGTTCTTTGCCATGATTATCATTAGCCTTGCTTAATGTGTTTTAAAGTTAGATAACATTTTGTTTAGGTTTGGTGTCCCCTGGATGGGTTTGCAGGGTTTCAGGCAGGGCTCTTGCAGTGGGATTAGGAGAGTTCCCAGCTGAAGGTGTCAATGAAGGCACAGCTGGAAAATGTCACAGCAACAGCAAACAACACCTTGCAGCATCTTGCATCAGCTTTTTCCCTCCAACACTCATAAACAAATGTATTATTGCTCACTTAATAGAGCTTTAAATTAGAAAAACAGTAAGTTATGTAGTGTTGGTGTTTACATGTGTTTTCTGGTCTCCAGAAGGAATCTGGCACATGTTCCCTTTCGGCTTTGCCTTGGTGGCTCTCCTTCCCTTTCCCTGTGTCTGTCAGAGGTGAATTATCAAGAGCAGCCCACCCAGAGCCTTCTGCAGGTGCAGAGGTGTGAGGTATCTGTGCTCTGGTGGCAATTCCAGCCCCAGAACACACTCACTGGTGTTCAGAGAATAAGGAAATTCTCCTCTGCTTGCAGCTTTTGTTTCAAACTCTGACATTTCTGCCATGGAAACCTGGGCAGGCACTCGCCAGCTCTCGGTGCTGTCTGTAAGACTTGTTGGTTTGGAAAAAAGCTGATTTTGAATGAAGATGTAAGCCAGTACCATTATCAAAGTGCTGTAATGAATAATCACAGCACTGAACTCCAAGGTTTGTATGAAGTAATACAGCTGCTTTAGCTTCCAGATTGATTTTTCATCTTGCTTTTCTGAGGTGCCCTGTGCTGTAAAATCCTTCTTTCATCTCTGCCTTTGGTTCTGTGGCATCAAACCAAAAGACGTCTTATCTTTAAACAGGTACTTGTGAAAGAACCTGACAAGGGGCAGGAGGTTGGTCAGCAATGGTGTATTTCTGAAAAGTATCAATTATCTTTGTAACTGAGTTCATTATTTTTTGAAATTCCGTAATCTGCGTTTGAATCACTGCTGGAATGGTTTGTGTGATCAGAGCCTCTGGCGGAAGAGGGATGAGAGTGTGGCTTTGGAGAGGTCTCTGATGCTCCAAGTCATCCCAAGCAGGGCTGAAATGGTACTGGAGAGATTCTAGGAGCTGCTTCATCTGGAAATTTTAGTAGTGAGCCTTTCTGCCTGTGAATCTGGACTTGGTAAGATTGGTGCTGATGCTGTGTTATGAATTCAGTGCAGTCACATGGTTCTGGGGTTTCTCTGCTGTGAATTGCAATTTGTGAATTGCATGAAGTGAACTTTGAAGTCTCAAGTGTGGAAATATAGAACTTTTTGGAAAGAACATATTCTCTGGCCTTCTTCAAGTAGAAAAAATTTAATCTAACCCAGATACCTAATGTTTGTTAAATGGATGATCTGAAAGTTGAGATGTTGCAGCCCTACAGGCTAGAGTAGGTCAGAATAGCTGAGGTTTGTTATGAAACTTTGGAATGTGTGTGGTCTGCTGTGGTCTAAATGTAATTCTTGATTTTACAACCAGTAGAGGAGTGCACCTGCATCCAGGTGAGGAGGGGTGAGTAGGGAAACTGGTTCTGTGCAGAGTTCCCACTGGGAATTCTACCTCAGCTCACCCTCTTCATGTCTGTTTATAAACTGTTGTGTGTTTAAACCCCCACAGCACTTCTCCTTTGTTATTGTTACAGCTGAATAATTTAATACCTGTTTTACAGAGGGTTGGTGTAGCACCTTTGCCCTTGAACTCTTGCTCACAGAGCTGTTTGTGACTTCCTCTTTCTGATTTATGTGAATTATCACTGTTGGGAAGAAACCTTCCTTTCTGGGAGGTGATACTTGGTAACAAAAACATTTATTACTCTTATTTTCTCTTACCCTGATCCTTCTGCAGCTTGCAGGCCAAGGAAGGGGGTGTGTGTTTTGTGCAGGTTTGTCTTTGGTGCTCCCAGCTCCTGGACAAGTCTGGTGCCCTGGGGGTGTGGTGGTCTGTGTTTTAAAGTTTCCACCCATGGAGCTCTAGGAGATTTAACTCTTGAACAAATCAAGTTTGCAACTCATCTTCTTGAATCATTTTTATCAGCAGACACAAACCCAGGCTTTCTATGTGCTGTGATGGAACAGAACTCTGTTGCCTCCCCATGGGACAGCTAATTTTTAGCTCTTGGGTGGTTTTCTGTTTATGTTGTTGTGCACCTGGTCTTATTTCCTTGTTTAATTGGGAACAATTAGTGATAAGGGCCTGATTACTCAATGAAGTATCACTTTAGGGTTTTAAATGGAGCTGATTAGAGCCGAGGGGTCAGCCCTGGGGGGAGTGCTGGGCTTTTCTGGCCATGGTGGCTCAGGGATTGTGCCAGCCGCTCATGGGAGAGCGGAAGGCAAGGGGAGAACAAGGGTTGCTTTGTTGTTGAATCATTGTTTTTGTTCAGTTTTCTCTGATTTAGGCTCTTTGGAGGTAGCTGGGGCTGAGGGCACTGCCTGGGACTGGCTCAGTTAGTGATGGCACGAACATACCTGAGATCAAGTGATTATTCAGGGCTATAAACCCAGCAGAATTCCTTTATGCCAGATGATGTCCTGGTGGCAATGGGTGTAAGGAGACAAATACCTGTTTTCTATGTTCTTTTATTTTTTTATTAATGAGATTGAAACAGATTTTGTTATTCTTCACACTAAAAATAATCATTTTTTTCTTAGGAAATACCTGTAATGAAACCCATGATGGCTCATTACAGTGCAACAGAAAACAGTGCTCAGATAACAAAACTATATTCAGTCTGCTGGAAACTTCATCTTAATTTGACTTTACAGTTTTTCAGTTACTTTTGAATGACTTAAAATATTCATTAAGTTCAATTAATGTTAAGCACATTAAGATTCTATTCCTTCAGTGCCAAATATGTTATGTGATATTTAAAAGGAAATAAATCCTTGTTAATGGGTTTACTTAATGCTTAAGAAAATTCTGTGAAAATTGACTGTTTTAAATTATGCAAAAAATCAGCTTATATTTTAGGTGCTCCAATGCCACATTTCCTGCCATATAATTTCAAGTGCTGAACATAAGGCTAGTGAATCTTGCTAATTTAAAATAAATAGCTTTAAAATATACTCTGTTTTCTTAGTTTTGCTCTTTACCACAGTTAACATAAATAATTCATAAAAACATACCTTTGTTCAGTGTGGTAACTATCAAATGATTTATGTTGTTGGTTTTGGATTAAGACTTTATTATTAATGTTTCAATAGAGGGCACTCGTGCTTTGAGGTAACACCAAATTTCTGTGTTTTTAAAAATGCTTGCAATGAATTGGAGCTGAAGTGAAATTTCATGGGTTAAAACACATAAATAATGTTTGATAGTGCTTGAGAAAATTATTCATTGTCATATTTTTATTTCTTGTTCCTTTCAACTTTGGACATTTGCTTTGTTTGTTTGGGTATTTTACAGTAGGTGGAGGCAGTGCAGTCACTTTGCCTTGAACTGATTGTAAAAGATGTATTGTTATGGCTTGCTAATGGACTTGCTGTTAGCTAAGATGGAACAGTTGTAATAAGGAATGGAATTTAATGAATACCTACTTTCCAGCCAAAAAGCCTGTCGAAGAATCAGAAGAAAAGAAAGCAGCTCAGTCAAAGAAGAAGATCAAAGAATTACGAGTTTTGGATGGAAAATCTGCACAAAATTTATGTAAGTGATATGAAGGGCATTAGGTCAATACTGAAGTAGCATCTACACCTCACTGTTTGTAAATTGTCTTTTTTTGTTTACATGTGCAATTACTTTTTCTAAAAATGCTAATTTGAGCATGAGCCTTAAATTCAGAGGTGTTTAAATGCATGTTCTGGATTCATTATATAACTTGGGAAAAATGAAAAAAGTAACATGGAAAAGTTCTTCGGCCTTAATGGGCTTTTTGTCAGTTGATTCTCTCAATTATTGCTCAGGACTGAAAGTATAATTAGGTGATGATTAGGAGTTGGGGCAGAGCACAGTGTGGGTGGGGATTAGAGGCTGTTCCTAATAGTTCTTGTGGTCAGAGTGAAGAAATGGAGGTTCAGGGGAAGATGTTGCCAGATGTGCTGCAGAGGTGCAAGTGCTACTGCTGGAAACTGCACCAAAACCAGCCCACTTGTGTCATTTCACTTGTTTCTTCCCTCTTTAATTACAGGGGGAAATCAATCATTGAGTCTTTTATTTGAATCAGGAACACCATAAATGTCACTAGTCCAACTGTGCCCAGGGCAAATAAGTGTGGAAACTCAAATGTGGGCTTTGTTTAGTTCCACATCCGTGAGCAGAAAATGAGCTATGACACAAGTGATAGAAAACCTCAAATTTTGGAAGTCATGGATGCAGGATAATCAACCATAGTAGTCAGGCTGAATATAAAGCACTTTTTTTTTACAATGTTATGCTGATCCATCTGTTAAGAATTCTTTGTAGTTTACTGAATGGGGCTCTCTTGAGATTTTATAACATTCTGAGACCAAATTGCTTTGAGAACTCTATCTTTGAAGGGTTTGCATTATGTCTGTCTCTTGTATAAGTTCAGTTACCCTAAAAGTGATAGAGTTAGGGCATTTTTCTTACTTTGCCCAGTACTTCATTACCCCTTTAATGTGAATTTTCTTCTAGAATATCAAATTAATATCGTTTACCCACTTGTAAGTGCAGTGCAGCTATTCATACATGCTTATAAAAGCAATAATAATAATAAAGATATCTATTATTGGCTGAGTAGATCTACTTAAGTAGGAATGCAGGTGTCATTCCTAAAGAACAATTTTATTGGGAAGTAACATTGCTGGGGAGTAACTGAGGCTGATTTGAAAATTAAAATTGTCATAGTTTCATTTCTTAGGAAATGAATTATAAGTCAATCTGCAATAGTGTGCCTAACTAGCATTTGTTTATATAAGAGAATTGTTAACTGTGAAGCACAGCTGAGATGGAGGTGTGATTTTTGAGTTGCTAGAAATGGTTTGCCTTTGTGTATCAATCTTTGTTGACCTTTTTGATTCTAATGATGTATTACTGAATTTCAGCAATATTTTTGGGTTCCTTCCGTTTGCCTTATGAAGAAATAAAAAATATCATTTTAGAGGTTGATGAGGAGAAGCTGAGTGAATCCTTGATTCAGGTATGTGGAAATACCTCTGCTTTTGATCATAGCTCATTTTCCACCCAAAAATGGCACAATGGAGTAAGAATTCAAGAATAAGGCAGGGTATCAGTTGTGTTTCATTGATTTCGCTTCTGCTTTTGAATATGGTCACAAAAATGCCTTTCGAAGACACAGTCAACAAAATAATTCCTTGGAATTTCCCCTTCCTAAAGGAAATCTTTGAGAATTGTAGTTTTTCAGCTTCAAAGACAAGCTGAAGATGATCCAGGCTGGTGCATGATGAAGTTTCATGAGGATTCTTGTGGAAACAGCTCTGGAACAGCTCTGCCTGTCTAGTGAGAGATGAAACTCCCTGAAAGGTTCAGGACAGCTGCAGCTCCAAACCTGTAAATCAAACCTGCTCTCAAGCTGCTTTAGTCTCATTTTGAGCCCCAAATCTCTCAGCTGGAGAGTAGAAAGGATGGAATGCAGCTTCTTTCCATCCCTCTCTGATTTCCTCCCTCTAGGAGGAGAGCAAGTGTGTTCATGGCCCCTCGTGGTCTTTGAGGAGTGACAGTTCAACAGAGAAGCGTGGAAACCCTAAAAGGCACAAAGATTTAGCAGCCAGCAATGCTGGTGTTGTTTGATTTAACATCATACACAGATTCCCTTTCCTGCTGCCTCTGGGCCTCGATTTATCCCTTTATCCTTCCCCATCTCCTGTTTGCACCTTTGTCCCATCCCCCCAAGGTTTTCTAAATTAATTTCTTCTTCCTTTTTTGGACCTGCAGAATGGTTATTCTGGTGACTCCGGTCTAAACTGAGTTGTCTCAATGTTTGAAAATAAGTGCAAAGCCTTGATTTTATTGAGGACTTGGTTTATTGATCAGAGATGTCAAATCAGAGGATTAAGAAACCTTCAGGCTTATTAAAATCAAAAATCAAGGGGGAAGAACAGCCCCACCTTGGATAGCTGAAGTGCAGAGTAGTTTCACATTGATCTCCTCTGCTACAAATACATTATTATTTGGATTTCAACTTGTGTGTGTATGGAAATTTAAATGCAATCTACGCTTTAACTGAGTATTTCTTAAACTATTTGAGTCCTAATGTAAATATTTTAAATACTTATCATATCTGTATTTTGACACCTCAAGATCGTATGATAACTCACAATTTTCTTTGGGAGGATGGGTAAGACTGCAAGCAAATTGAACTTTTTCCTGTTTGCCAGCCAAAAGATCTGTACAGCTTTGGGATGTTGACTTTTTTTTGTAAGGTATTTTTAAGGGTACTTTGTGAACAGATATTTTGAATGTCTAATGCTTGTAATTTTTTTTTTTTCTTACTTTTGTCATGTTTTACACAGAGTAGTTATTTCTTGATTAATATTTAATGAGCAAGGTGCAACCATTGGGGCAAAAGGAATTTGTAGAGAGACAAAACTCCTTGATGGTGTCAGACCCTGAAAAATGATACTCTAACCTTTAAATCCATTCTTCAAATCAGAGACTCTAGCAGAGCAGTTGATGTCTGTATTAAATAATTACTGCTTTGATTTGATGTTTATATAATGTTAAAGCTGCGCAAATAAAATAAACGTCCCATCATTTCCTCGTGCATTTCCATGTTGTGGTATTTTAAGCGTGTTATTTTTAATATCTTAGGTAGTTTAATTTAACAAATTTGATATAATGCCTTGTTTGTTTTAGAACCTGGTGAAGAATCTTCCTGAGCAGAAAGAACTCAATGCCTTAGCTGAATTAAAGGATGAATATAATGATCTTGCTGAGCCAGAGCAGTTTGGAGTTGTGGTATGTATTAAACTGCAGAATTCCATTTTGGCACGTACAAAGAAACAAATTTAATAAAATCTTTTTGTTAGTGGTTGTGTGTGAGACCTGCAGTAGGAAAAAGTTACAATTTCCTGATGAATTGTAATCAAAAAATCTCTTTAAGATGGATTAGGCCAAGCCAACCAGGGTTGGAAGCAGATGATCCTTAGGGTCTTTTCCAGTCTCTGATTCCCTGATTCTGGGTGTTTTTCTGCAAGGAGTCTGACATGAAAAACAACAGGCACTCCTGTTCCAGACCAAACCTATTGTCCTGCCTTGAATGTTTATTAAACACTTGTGAAGAGCCCTCTGCCTTCGAGCAGATACATTTCCAAGAGTCCATAGAAGACTCAGTTACCCCATGGCAGAGACAACTCTGAGCAATTTGTTTTGTGTAAAAGGCTGGAAGAGTTAATATGTTCACATCCCTATTTTATATGTATGTGTGCATACACACATAAAACACCTGTATTTATACTAAACTTGCAGAGTGGCTCAAGGAGAGGTGTGAATGTGTATTAGCACTGAAACTGTGGCTTGTGCTCTGCTCCTTTCAGTGGCACTCAGTCCCTGGATGTGTTCCAGGGCAGGGCTGCCAGTGTCAGCATGGCTGGAGCCTCTCTGGGAGGAAATCCCAGCATTTCCATCAAGTATTTCATCCATGCAGCTGGTGAGGGTGGGACACTGAGTTCTCTGCCAGCCCTTGGGAATCACTTTCTGCTCCTGGTCTTCCAAAGACCTCCTGAGTCTTTAGGCAAATGAGTTCCTGTTTTCACTTCCCTTCGTCAGCCTGAGAGATTAAAATGATGATGAGAGCCTCAGTAACGTGCTCAGCGTTTATCTCCAGCTCCACAGGAGCTACGTTTGCTCTTGCTGGATTTTTAAGGCATTATGTACATTAAAATGCATTAAAACAGGAATAGAGGCCTCTTAAAAGACTTTTTTTTCACTAAAAAGCTCTGATTTGAGCATAATTTGGCTTCAGAAGTGCCTTTTGAGGGCTTTTTTTTTAAAAATTATTTTTCAGTTGGAGAAGTAACAGAATATGATTTGTTCTAATGAGATTTTTTGTAGAGGATTTAGAAAATGAAAGATATCAGTGTGTTCTTTTGAAGAACTTTAGCCTACTGATTTTCTTTTTTTTAATAAATGGCATAAAGTTCCAAAATTTTTTTATTTCCAAAGATGAGGAGTTTTGGTAGAAGTGGGATACATTAGTTAGCCTCACTGCAAGATGTAAAACATTGCCATTTACTCATCAGTAACAATCTAAAAATCTCTATAAATACATTTTAAATTTTCTACATTCTTTGAATAATAGCATGCATATATATTATATATTTAAATATAATATATTATATATATTTAAAATACAAACATCCATGTATTATGTCTTTTGACAGACCAAAACTTATCTATGGATATATTCTGTGTATTGTGATAGATGCATATAATCTAGATTATTTTCTATATTCCCCCCTACACAGATACTGTCAGACAAAGTGAGAAATCCCTTTGGGTTTTGTTCAGGGACGATATCTGGAGTGTGTTGGAGGGAAATGGAAGCAGGCAAGGTGGAGGTGTTAGGACAAAAGAAGCCTCTGATATTTGGGAGTTGTGTTCAGTTTTCTGCTGAAAATCAGCAATGAAATGGGCAGAATTGTGTGTAATGGCCTTGATTTCAAGGGCTCTGCAGGCATCCCTCCGTTTTACTGCTGGAAATTCCTTCACCCTGATCTTCCTCACTTGGATCATTTCCCTCGCTGCTCTCTCCTCCTGACACCCATTCCCTTTTCCCAGCTCCACCCCTGGCTGCTCCCAGCTGATATTCCTGGATTAGGGTGCTGCTCTCCATATCCCATATGGGTTATATCCATATCAATATCCCGTGGGTTCCTCAGGGCTGGGATTCCTGCTGGCCTTGGGCTATTGAGAAATCCCTGATTTCCCAGCCTGGCCACAGTCCCCTTCCACGGGTTTGTGTTCCTCGGGAAACACTGACAGAGGAAGTTGAGAGAGTTTCCAAGTATTTAATGCAACATTAATTAGCGAAAACTGCTTAATCAAACATCTCCAAATGGTGCTGTTTGCCTTACGAAGGAACCAAGTGTCCTGAAGCTTGTTTGCTTATTCAGCTTTACCATCTGCTTCAATAAAAACCAGTGCTCTGCCTTGTGGGTCCTGCCTGATTTCTAGAGGCTTCCAACTGCATTACTGGTGCTAAAATGCTGGGGTTCTTTTCTGATTTTAGGATCATTCAAGTATCCACTGAAGTGGAAGAAATGCAGCTCAACTTAGTCTTGACAAAATTAATTTGCGTCAAATTAATTTTGGAGTTTCTCATTAATAAGAATAATCTTAACCTTGACTTTAGGAATAGAAGACTACTTTAAATAATATTTGAAGTGGGTCCCTTTATTTTTATGTAAATTTAGGTGAGGTAATTAAGATATGTTAATTGGATAATCACTTTGCCCATCAAATTTAATAAAGGTTGGAATAAGTTGCTTAAAATTTGTGTAGAAAAACCATACTTAGTAAAGGATTAACTTATTTGAAGGGACCGATTAACTTAATATTTGGCTGATATGTAAATGAAAATTAAAACTGCATTTTCATTTAGATGAAATGTTAAAATCCATTATATATTCTAATTAGTTATTGGAACTTTTTGAAGTTGTATCCTGGGATCGAGAAAGGCACCACAACTTTCTGTAGAGGAAAGTTTGCACTGATGTTGAAGCAGAGCAAGAACAGCAGATGAACTGAATCAGCTGTGTCACATGAACTCAGAATGTTACCTGAATTCTACATGGAAACCTTGTGTTCAAGGTGAACAGCTGCAGCTTGAGTAAGGAACTTCATTTCCACTTCAGGGGCAGCTGAACGTTTTTAGTATTAGCAAAGCATAAATTTGACTGAGTTGTTGTAGAAACTTGCATATTCTGTGACCCTTTTCCTGTCTAGCCAGCTCAGCTGTCATGAGCAGTCCTGGCTGGGAGGCAGATAAAATGGGGAGAATTGTCCAAGTTTATTGCACCTCTGTTGGTTTGCAGTCATTCAGTCTTTTAAATTGAATTTATTGGCTGCTTGTTTGGCCTCATTGTTATTTTGTGAGCTGCTGCAGAATTAATCTTCCTAGAATGTTTCCAGAGAAAAAAAGGCAACTTTAATATAACATAGGTAAGAGGCTAAGTTGTCTTAGTAAGTTGACAAATTTTTATTAGAGGAATGTCAGCCTTTTCTTGGGAAGTGAGGCAAATTTAATTGTGCTTTTTGCCTTTCTCCAATAGCCTTTGATCCTCATTTTAATATAGGGCTTGAGAATTGAATGATGATAATAAAGCATAAAGAACTGAATGAAGAACTTGATTAGGTAGAGAGTTCAGACAAGACCTTTACGAGAGCCCAGAAGGGGAAATAATGACATGCAGCCCAGCACTGACAGTCAGCTGGAAAAGAAATATCTATATATTTTCTTGCCTTTTAACTGTTTGCAGTGGAAGCCAGTGCTTGCTGTTCCGTGCACCTGCTTCTATGTTTTATTTCTTATATGCCTTTGACACTAATTTTATTTAGACACCTAAAGGGTGTGATGTGCATAAAAATGGTCTGGGTTTGAAGGAAACAGATCTTTAGGAGATGATCAAGATAGTTTTGTAATATTAAGTAGTTCAGGGAGTGAAATTAAAACTTACTGCTGGCTTGGTGGTCAAAAGGTGATAAATGATCAGTGATCCGTGGCACTACACAGTGCTGCTTCTCTGAAGTTTAAGGATTATTCTTCACAAATCTTTGTCCCGCTCTCCTGCGGGCTTGTACTTGTTTAGTTGCACTCTGGTTTTGGGATTTAAAGCTTTTGACAACTTGTCTGTGCCATTTTGAGTAAAAACAGCAATTGGAGATTGTTCTACAAAAGTTAAAGCAAATTATGTGATTAATTTTAATTTCCATCTACTGCAGATTAGTGTAAGTAGATCCTTTCAAGGCAGATGTTTTCAGTATGATATTTCTGAAATACAGAATGATTAGAAGAATAATGTTTCAAGACTTTCAATGATTTTGGTTTATAGAGGCTCAGAGAGAAATTTGTGACAATGGAGATTTACAAAAAAAGATCACTAGTTCTGCTGAAATGCTTCTTTTCTGATCCTTTCCTTTTCCTTGTTCCAGCCTGATCATAGGAATTGTTTGAGACCATCTGGAGCTCCTTCATGTTTATGTTCATTTTAGAGTGAATTCATTATTATTCAGGCCACTCAAGTTCTTCCTGTGAAAGTTAATTCTGCTGCTTCTGGTAGCAGTTGGGAGATAACACCAGCAGAAACATCGTGGTTCCTCAAAGGACCATGGTCAAAGTTTGGCCAACAGAGACAGGAGCACATCAAAACCTTCCTGTTTTCTTAGTCAGGATCTGTGATTTGTCACATTGCAAAGCTTTCCTTGCCCAGTGCTTCAGGAACACCACTGATGGTGAATACATTGGGGAAGAAATCTTTCTGTATTCTGCTAAGTAAAATGATTTGGAACATAATCATTCTTGCAATTAAATTAAAAATTTCAAGTGGTTTAAAAACGCTCAGTACATCTTTTTTTCCTGATTTAAATTTCTCTTGTGAATTATGGTGTGCTAAGTGGGAGGGAATAACTCTGATCACTTGTGCAAAATACGAAAGACAAGGCCATATTTTGTTACCTAGCCTAGAGAATTTGGTCTTGGGGATTTAAATTAATGAATCACCATTGTAGATTATTTTCAGTATCTCTGTCATTTGCTGTGTTACAACGTCAGGATTTATAACCTCCCATCTTTTTCTCAGAGCAGGAAGGAATTATTCCTGTGCTCTCTTTGCCAAGAGTGTGAAACACAAAGCTGGTAGGATTCCGGGGTGCCTGGAAATCCGGGATAGGCAATGGAAACATGCAACATCTGTAGGCTTGCTGGCTGCCCAGCATCAGGGTTTTTGACACAAGCTTTTCTCATAAGTCAGCATTTGGATTTTGATGTTTTGATGTCACTTGGGTGTTTTGCAGATGAGCTCAGTGAAGATGCTGCGGGCGCGGCTCAACGGGATCCTGTTCCGGCTGATGTTCGAGGAGCACGTGAACAACATCAAACCCGACATCATGGCAGTGACCCTGGCCTGCGAGGAGCTCAAGAAGAGTGAAAGCTTCAGCAAGCTCCTGGAGCTGGTGCTGTTCCTGGGGAACTACATGAACTCTGGCTCCAGAAACGCACAATCCCTTGGCTTCAACATCAGCTTTCTCTGCAAGGTAAGCTGCAGCCATGGGACAGCCAAGTGCAGCTCAAGTGCTGTGCCCAGTTCTGGGCCCTCACTTTGGTGGGAAGGACTTGGAGATGCTTGGAGCACATCCAGAGGAGGGGCTTGGAACACAAACCCTCTGAGGAACCACTGAGGGAGCTGGGGTTGTTCAGCCTGGAGGAAAGGAGACTCGGAGGTGACCTTGTCACTCTCCACAGCTCCCTGGAGGAGGTTGTGGCCAGCTGGGGTCGGGCTCTTTCTCCAGGCAGCACTGACAGAACCAGAGGACACAGCCTCAAGCTGTGCCATGGGAAACACAGGTTGGATATTGGGAAGAAGATTTCTACAGGAAGGGTGATAAAGTTCTGGAATGGCCTGCCTGGGGAGGTGCTGGAGTCACCATCCCTGGATGTGCTCAAAAACAGACTGGATGTGGCACTCGGTGCCACTGGTTGAGGTGTCAGGGATGGGTTGGACTCAATCTTGGAGGTCTCTTCCAACCTGGTGATTCTGTGAAACTCAGGACACAGGAGAAAGTGCCCAAAGCAGGGAGAAGCAGCAATCAGTGTAATTTACTGACTGCACCTCTGTGTTTCATAGCAGACAGGGAAATCCAGAGTGAGCATTCCCGGGATTCCTTGGATAATTTTCATATGTTGCTACTTTTTGCTCCTAAGGAATGTATTTCCACCTTCAAGCTTGTTTAGCAGAATTTGGGAGCCTTTATTTTGCATTTTGTTAAAACAACTCCTTTATTAGACCAGTGACCATAATTTAGTGGACTTTCTGCCCATGATAAAAGAATTTTATTATGTTTTTTAAGTCTGCTGTCAGCAAAGTGGAAGATGTCTATGTGCAGAATACACACACTTCATGATGAGGAATCCTAATGTGATGAATTCACTTTTCAATAAAACCAGAGTTTTGTATTGATTTTTTTTTTCTTGTTTCTTGAACAATCTTAAAATTAATTGTCTGTTTACTGGATGAAAAACTTACATTATACAGTCTGAAAAAAGAGGAGAAAAAAGGCAAATATTGATCTGGGATAAATGTTCGTTTTGAAAAATAAATGCTTTTACAGCAGAGCTGGTCATTTCATACACAGATCTGATTTAGTTACAGCTTTTATTAAAACATGATAAAGAAAATAAAAGAAAGCACAACTGCAGCCTGTCTGGACTGAGCTAGAAGGCTAATGACTGAATAGTAATTGCAAATCCTTAAAAACAGATTATCTCTCTGGATGCTGTATTGCAGTGTATGATGTTATTGAAGATAGAAATGATTTGTAAACAACCTTTGGCAGAAGGCAGAGAACTTAATTTAGTTCAAATAAGAGGCATCGACATCAGAATTCCTGGGATGTGTCGAGACTGGCAAGGGAGAGCAGCTGTTCCTGTGCCTGCACCAGAGCATCTTCATTGCCTGAGCATGGAATGCTCTGTAAAAACAGAAATACGGCAGGAAAAGTGCTCAGGCTGAGGGAGGCTGCTGTAGTAATTCACTGCAGGTGAAGTTTGCTGTGTTATTTTAATGTCTGAAGGATCCAGCTGCTTTTTGTACCCCCAGCACCCCCTCAGGAGTTCCAAATTCCTGCTCCATGGGAATGGAACTGAAAGGAAAGAGGTTTGTTTTAGGGATGTGCAGGTCCAGCTGCTGGTCCTGTGGTGCTGAATGAAAGTCAAGACCAGCAGCTCAGTTGCAATAAAGCTTTTGCAGCGTTCTGGCTGGATCAATGTGTGGTTTATTCTTTGAGTGCTGCTATGTTACTTTTTGTTCATCCTGCAAATAGAACAAGACAAGCTGTTTATCCAGTCTGAGTATTACTGATGAGGGGACATTTATTGTCCAGTAGCCCTTGTTCTGGGAAGGGGGGAAAGATTTCTAGGGTAGGAGAAGGTTTGTAATCTCATAAAAATCAATAGAGAGCCTTTTTATAGCTATAATAAAGTGTCACTCCAGTGATGGTTCGTACACAGGTTTTTCCCTGCATTGGCTGTCACGTTTAACCCTCACACCTGAAAGCTGCATCCAGAAGCAGCTGGGAGAACCCAGCCCCATCCTGGCAGAGGGTTGTGGTGGGATTGGCACGGGTTAAATGCTTTACTCTGTGCAAAGAGAGTTCTGTTCGTGTTTTTCTGGCTGACAGAATTAAACATCCTCCTCCATGTCTCCCTTGATTTGAATGGTTGTGCTGTGTTGTGCTCTGTGTGCCTTGGCCTTTAATCCTTTCCCAAGCAATGGATCTCGTGGTATTGACCCTCAAATTGATGCTTCAGCATTCAACTGGAGCTGGTTTCTGCAGCCCACACTGATCTACCAATTTATTTCATTTCTTTTTAAACTGTGTTATTTCCAAATTCGGTCTCTCGGGCAAAGAAAGGCCATGGACTCAAAACCTGTACTTTAAAATTTGAACACCACAGCGTTAAAAATTTATCCTGAATCACAGAATGATGGAATATCCTGAGTTGGAGGGGACCCATGAGGTCCATCAAAGTCCAGCTCCTGGTCTTGTAAGCACAAGTTAATGGACTGTTTTTGCTTTTCATCCCCTTGGCTGGAGTGTGTAGAACAGCAGAAATGAGGCTGAGCCTTTAGGTTCTTTACGTGCCCAGGAATGTTATTCTATTGGGCAAAATTACTGCAAGTAAAAAGCTGAATATAAAAAGTATTGTGTTTATTTGCAAAAAAATTAAAATAATGGCTGAGTTATATATTGAATACAAGTACAGGGTGAGAATACAGATAAAACCATGCTGTCACTTGTCCAATTGCTGCCTTTCATTTCTATTTTTAGATTTAAACAGTGTGTGCTGAACTACACTCAAACAGCACCTATCTTATTTTTCATTATAGGAGTAGGCTTAGGACTTGATTCTTAAAGTACAGATATTGATTCTCAATATCAAGCAGACTTATCTGTATCCATTGTGTTAAAAATAAAGATGAGCATAGCAGAGACTTGTTAATGATTGGGCCAAAGAAATGAGTTTGATACATTTGTTCAAGATCTAAATCAATGTTTACTACAAGGTGCTAATACTGACTCTTGTTATGATGTTGCTCTTGGTGGCAAAACATGTCCCTGGTGTAATTTGAAAGCAAAATAATTTTGTCCATTTAGAAAAAAAGTGCTTTATCCACTAGATGATGTCAGAGAGATCAAAGACTGCAAATCCCACTACTGTTGTTCACAGACAAATTGAAATGCAATTTCTCTTTCCCATGCAGATGTTTAGCCAGTAAATCTAGGATTTTTTTCAAGTCAGAAGAACTTCTGTGTATGTAACACATTAAAGCCCTTTAACTGCATACCATTACTGAGCATTGTTTAGTCTTTAATCGCTGAATTGGTATGAATTAAATTGCTTTCTTAATTGCCTAAATACCTTATATTTTTAAAAGCCTGTTTTTCCACTGCACTCATTTATTCCTAACAGGGTAATCCTTAAAGCTGAAAGGCCTCTATTAAATTGAACATCGATGGCAAGCCTGTCATGAGGATTATAGAATTAGAACTTCAAGTGATTTAGAGAATGAGAAAACAAATAAGAGATTTTACACACGCATTTATGTATTCTTCTTAAATAAATCCTTTATTTCATTTGTTGTGTATGTTGTAGCTTACTTCTGTGTAAGAACTGTACTAGATGAGTAAAATGCTGTTAAAACAATTCTTTCCAGATTTATTACTAATTCTCTGTCAAGTGAAGTGTGTTCCTCTGAAACTCTAACCTGCACCTACTCTGACTGTTGCCTTTGTGAAAAAGAGGAAGTCACTGCTTCTGTTGGATCTTCCATCAGCTCACACTCTCCTTCTTCACATCTGCACAAAAATGGGCAAACTCAGAAACCTTGGTCTTCAGTTTGTTCTCTCATTCTCTTAAATTCACGATGTTCCTTTGTCCAGACATGTGCACTCTGCCATGGGCTTTAGCCATAAGGTTATTGAAAACATGCCACTGCTCCCATAGTCTAACAAATAGTTCAGGTTTTTATTTTTTTAACTAAAAAAACCTCATTTCAGCAGTTCATGCACTCAGGTTAATGGAGAATAGAGTCTTATCACTTCCAAGAATACAGATATATTTCAGGCCACTAAGAAGTGCCTCTGCAGTCAAAAGAACAGCAAAAAAATATACATTTACCTGTTACTTCCCATTGTGCAGAGTTCTCCTGCAGCTTTTCATAAATACAACTGATGCATTAAATTTCCTTTAGCTACAGTCAGGATTACTTTTGCTGTTTTTGTTGTCATTCTGTATTCCAGTGAGGCAGAGTGCATTTATTTTGTGTGTCTCTATAGAATTGGTCTCCAAGCCTTTAGCCTAAAGCAGCATGGTTTGGATTTTGCTCCAAGAACAGATTGTGGATTTACAAGAAGGAGTTCCTTTAATTTGACTGGTCAAAATGTAAATTCTGTTAGCATGAGGTTCCAGCTATGCAACATTTCAGGGATTCCTTCAGAGATTTGCTATTTATGGTGTTGAAGGAATGTTCTAAATTCAGTTCTGTTTAATCTTTGTTCACAGCTATTTTTTATCTGGGGGGTTCTGAACTGGCAGTGCTAAAATCTCAGAACTTTATGGACTGTCTTCAGGTCTTGTTCTCATCAAAATTAATCATTCTCTCTTAAAATATGTCTCTTAATTTCTTAAAATGCAAGGTAGATTCCTTTTGTAGTCCTAAATTATGAAGAATTCAAGAAATTTCATTTTTTTAAATGAATTAATTTTTGAATCTGTTTTTTTGCAGGCAACCCCTATAGGTAACTTTTTCTTAACGAGTTGAAGTCTGTGATATTCACTTTATTGAAATATTTTAAGATTTTTTTTTTCTTTTTGTCTTTTTTTCCTGTGTTTCTTTTTTAGATTAGAGACACAAAATCATCAGACCAGAAAACCACCCTGTTGCATTTCCTGGCAGAAATCTGTGAGGAGAATTACCGGGACATCTTAAAATTTCCAGATGAATTGCAGCACGTGGAGAGTGCAAGCAAAGGTAAGCAAGCAGACAAAGCACCTGAAGGCAGCAGTTGTTTGCTTTGCCATTAAATCCTTCCAGCATTTCATTTGGGATTGCAGGATTATGTAACCTGTGAGCATTGATAATCCACGTGCATTGTGCCTTTCTGGTATTTATTGAGCTGAGAAGGCAGGAGGGAAAACCAGAAATAGAGCAGCAACTCCTGCAGCAGGCTGTGAAAATAATGAGATTGATTTGGGTGAGATGCTGAGGATTTGTGTCATTTCGGGGTGAGCTCTGGGTGCAAGGAGCCTTCCACACCTGAGAGGGAAAATAACCAACATGCTCTGGAGAAATCCCAGGCTGCACATGAATAGATGCAGTTTAATTGTGCTGCACAGGCAACAATTGATGGTTATTTTTGGTCAGGCAGCAGTTCAGGCTGGGGGATGTGATGGGTTCATCTCTCGGCTGTGTTTTGGCTGTGCTGCTTGGCACACTTCTTGCTGAGTTTTCTGCTGAGGTGAGAGTAGCTGGTAGATAAAGATAACACAAACTTTTAATTTCCCCATTTCATCAGAAGATAAGTACCTGAGCACAAGAATATGAAGGAAAAGAGAGGTGAGAAGCAGTTGGATGCTCTTTCCACCTGCTCTATCCAGGCTTTCTCCTGGAGATTTTTGTCTCCTTTTTTCCAGTGTTATCAGTCAGTGTCTCTCCAGTACAGTGATTAGCTGTTAGACAGATACTTTATTAATTAGGCCATCATTTGCTTTCAGTTTGGGTTCTTCTGTCTTAAACTGTCTGCTGAGAGCAGAACTCTTGTTTCCCCAAGGACCTGGGGAATAGTTCATCCATCAAACCCAACTTTGCCATTGGTTCACCTCAGACTTCTTTATGCTTTTATGTGTCTGTCTATATTGTACTTTTTTGCTGTTTCTCTAACTTTCCATGTTTTTTTCTCTGCATTTATCCTGTGTTTTATTTGTGATGATGAAATGTGTCCCTGCTTTGCAGGATGGTTGATTGGCCCGAGGACAAAATGGGGCTGTCTGGGATTATTGGGGTGTCTGGGCCAGGGATCCTCGTGAGTCCTTTCCAGCTCGGGATATTCTGTGCTTCTCTGGACTAACACATTCATTATTTATGCAACTAGCAGTTTGGCATCCTATCTAAATTCCAAAAATGTTTTCTACCACTTGATAATTCTTTTCTTCAGGTGACATTCAGTCTTCTTATTCCTTTCTTTGTAAAGTCTTCTGCTTTACCAGGCACTTTTGATGATCTTTTATGACTTTTCTTCTGTGGCTGACACTTGACCTTGCAGCTTTGAGGTTTTTGTAGTTTGATTCAAAGCCTCTGATGTTGTGTAAGTTGACTTCAGGAATGAAACTGAAAGATTCAGTAAAGTTTAGTTAAGCTGTAGCATCCTAAACAGAGGAAGCATATTAATAGGAGCAAAGCCTCTAATAATTCTGATGCTTAGAACACATGAAAAAGATTTTATTGCAGTTAAATTTGTTTCATTCTGTAAGATAAAAACTGCATTTCCTATAAACAGCACTGACTTCTAGCAGAACATAAATTACTGTTCGTTTTTAATGACCAAAACTTCTCTTTCAGCCTTTCTTTGCTTTCTGGAGCAAGGCAGATTTTTGGCAGAATAAACATGATTTGTGCAAGTTGCTTCAACTGTTCCCCATGCTCCTTCTGGGGGTTTGGTAATTGTGCTGTTCATCTGCTGTGTAGGAAGTTGAAATGCTTTGCATGGAGGAGATTTGCACTTCCTCTTTATTGTTTGGTGCTTTATAAACCAGTGGTTTTGGGGATGGGCAGTTGGGTTTATTTTTCCTGTGGGAAGCCTCTTTTGGAATAAATTGGCTGGATATGAGGATGCTGGCTTCAGTTATTCATAAAATAGGAAGAAATCTAGCAGCAAATATTATCTCTGCATGAATTTTAAATAAGGAAATATGATCAAGGCAGGTGAGTGTTGTTATTTGAGATGGATGCTGGTACAGCCCCAGCCTTCCAAACTCTACACTCAGCATCTGCAACTTCTTTTCAGTCTTGGCTGCATGCTCTCAGTTCCATGTAAAGAAAAAAAAATCCTGTTCAGCTTGTTTTTCATAGAAGAATGAAGAACCAGCATCTGAACAACAGCTGATTTTATTTTTTTTTAATCAAAGAGCAGATAAAGCATAAAACTGGATTTTAATATGAAAAGGTCAATGGGATTAGATGAACTGCCCATGCATGCATGAAAATCTTCAATAATCTGATATTAGGTATAATAGAAGAGTTGATCTTTTTAAAGATGGAAGATCAACCTGCAGGTTTATGAAAAGTAAAAATAAATTAGGAAACAGTTTTATTGTGGAAAATACAAGCAAAGGTCAAAGTGATTAACTCTCAAGAGATCACTGGAAAAGCATTTCTTCTTCCTGGAAGCAGGCTGTGCCAGGAAAACCAACCAAAACTCACAGGGCTGTGAGGAAGTGCCTTGTTTGATGTCAGTAACTCTCTATTCCCTCTTTTCCCCTCTTTTCCCCTTTTCCCCAGTGTTTTCCCCTATTTTCCCTTTTTCCCCAGTGTTTTCCCCTATTTTCCCTTTTTCCCCAGTGTTTTCCCCTGGTCCCTTGGAGCCAGGCCCAGCCTTGCTGGCACATTCTTGCCTTCTTCACTTCATTTTTTATCCTACTTGCTGCTTTTCATGGTATTTGCTCTCACCACTTTCTAACCTCTGCTTTTTTATTAAATGCCTGAAAAATTCCCATCCCATTTTGGGCTTCAGTGAAATTTCCAAACAAGAATAAGAGGTACCTTACAAGTCAGATGTTTCTACACAGCCACGTGGTTAAAAGTATGGTTTGGAATCACTCAGAAAAGAAATATATTTTTCAACTTACGGCTCTCCTGAGTGTCAAACGTCTCAGAAATCATAAAAGTGATATAGGGAACACACAAAATTAAGGTGATTAAAATAAGTTAGCCATGTATTTTATAACAGCAACTTAATTTTAGATATTAAGAGCAACAGTTTTACATCCCAGTTGATGATTTAAATATTGTGCCTGTAAATAATAAAACATAAAGCCACAGCTACAGTTTATTTTTATCTGTGGAATATCAGAGATATTCCTGATGTAGCTTGGTCTGCCAGCAGTGGCAGTCACTGGGCTCTGCAGAGTCACAGCAAATGGAGAATAACTGTCAAACTGGGATATCTATAATGGAAATATCTGTATTTTTTAGTCTCTTTCAGTAATAACAAGGCCTTTTTTGAGCACTTAACACACTGAATTCTTTGCCTGATATAAAGGTGTGCCACTTCATGGTTCTTTTCAAGTGTTGTTGAAAGTAAAATCAAGTGAAAGGTGCCTTGTGGGGTGAATTAGGTCTGTGCAGTGGACTAAAAAATACCAATAACAGCAGCACAGATTTGTCACTCATGTGGACATTGAAATTTATTTCATTAATTTGCAGGCATATGGTTGAGGCATCTCTCTAGAAAGGCCATTAGCAATCAGGAGCACTGGGGAATGCAAATATGTGTGTACTTTTTATTACAAATCCTGTAATAAAATATGAATTTTGAGATTTTATACAGGTACTTCACTGTGATTTAATGGCATCATTTTAGAATGGGGGAAATATTTTAAAACATCCTGTGCCACTGTCACTTTGAAGTACAGCAATTTAAAACATGCTCATAAGCAGCAGCCATTTTTCTGTCAAAAAAAAAAAGTTTTATAGTTTGTTGCAGCAGGAAAAACCTGTGTTTTAGCTAAGAGATCTGCAGCATTTCCACCTTGCACAGCTGAAATTGCTGGAACAGGTTTTGCCCAGTCTGGCACATGAAACCTCCCAGGCATTCCTTGTGTTGCAGTTCCAAGATTTCTCCAAGAGTTCCTTTAGGTGCCTCGCTGAGATTCTGCTCTGAGAAATTGTTTAGTGGATTCTCCCAGCCTGTGAAGGCTTTGAGGATAATTTGAGTTGCTGTCTGTGTGTAATAAATGCTGTAGAGAACTGTGGTTGCTCTGCATTCTGGAGGTGCATTTTGAAGTTATAATTTGGAATCTCCATTAAACAGCTCTCTGTATGGCTCGTGTTTTAAGGCTCTGCTGCTCTCCCTGAAGTGAAAGTATCAAGGGCAGAATGAAAGAACAGTCCAAATGACTCTCATGGGCTGTTGCTTATTAAAGAAATTAAAGCATTTAAGAATTTCTGGCTGTAGTTAAACCAATTCAGAAGTGAAGATTGCTTTAACTGTCTTAAGTTGTGTAATCCATTTAGAATTCCTTAATGCAAGCCTCTGGAGAGAGGGGAAAGCTGCAGAATGGCACTTTGTTCTTTCTCCTGCCTTTCTGTGGTCGAATTTGGACTTTGCTGGCTGTGAGGAAGGTTGTGGCAGCTCTGGAAGTGGGTCAGGCAGTCAGGAAGGCCAGGCTGCAGTTGGATGAAGTCACCCAACATCTCTGAGTTCTTCTATCAGCAGCAGGTTGTGTGACAGGAGCTTTGCTCCTTCTCTCTGCATTCCTTACTTTGTGTTTACTTGTCTCCTCTGCTTCATTTGCAATTTGTCTTACACCCCTGCCAGCAGTTCTGCTTCAGCATGCTCATTTAATACATACTGATTTTGTAATTATAAGCTCTCTTTTAAAAATAAACTCAACTTCTGAGGTCTTGAAAGACATTTGTAATTAAATCAACATCAAAGTAGGGCGAGTTTCTGGAGTGCTCTGGAGGTGATATCCCACATTGCCAGGAGAACGCTGCTGATTGCAGAGCTGTTCTCACACATCAGCTCCAATGCTCCGGGTTATTTTCCTAAAATTGGGACATCTGTTCCCTAAATGATTTGTAGCTGTAATATGAAAAGTCAGTCCAAGTAAAAAACTGATATTCTATGACACTGTTTGGTGTTTAGTTAGTAAATGGTGGGTTGGGGGAAAGGCTGCTCTTGGCAAGGGAGAGCAGGAGGGTGGCACACCCAGAGCGCCTGGAATCTCTCAATAAACCCCAACCAGGAGTTC